TGTCACAGCTCCAGACTTATTTGTTCATTAATGACGTCATCAGCGACTAGTCGACTTCGACTCGACTTTCATCCCATAAAAGTCGACTTTAAAAAATCAGAAGTCGTTCAACCCCTAGCGCCAGCTGAATTACTCTCTTTACAAAGGGAAATTAAAAATGCTAATGCTGAAAGCTATTCTAGCTCAGGTTCATGCAGGGATTGTTTTGTTACTGTACAGTCATGGCCAAAAGTTTTGGCAGTGATATAAATTTTGTGTTTTGCAAAGTTTGCTGCTTAAGCTGTTGTGGTGTTCATTCACATTGTTTCTAGATTATTGTATAGTAATCAGATGCATTTTAAATAATTGCTAAAAGCTTCATTGGCCAAAAAAATCAACTTTTCACAAAAATTCACACACATTTCACTGTTTTATTATCCTGACACAAAATGACCAGCTAACATTAATTGACTAATCATATCAGCAGCATATGTGAAAGTGTGAATGAGTACTAGTCAGGTGAAATCACTATCATAGTAATTAGATTGTAAGAGCAGACTGATTGCTATAAAAGGAGAGAAGAAGCGCTCCCAATCATTGTGTTCTTGTTAGCAATGGTTATCTCCAAAGAAACACGTGCAGCCATCATCGCTTTGCATCAAAATGGCCTCAGAAGGAAATTGCTACAAAGAATATTGTGCCTGAAAGAACCATTTAGCGGATCATCAAGAACTTAAAGGAGAGAGATTCGACTGCAGTGATTCTTCAGGACGTCCCAGAGTGTCCAGCAAGTGCCATTACTGTCTCCTCCTGAGGAGGCAGCTACGGAATCATGTCACCACCAGTGCAAAGCTTGCTCAGGAATGGCAGCAGGTTGGTGTGCTGCATGCAGCATGCACAGTGAGGCCAAGACTTTTGGACAATGGCCTGGTGTCAAGAAGGGCAGCAAAGTTCTCTCAAATCTCCAAGAAAAAAGGACAGACTGAAATTCTGCAGGAAGCACAAGGATTGGACATCATTGTTCGGAGAAGAAAAGGTGAACACTACCATGAGTCCTGTGTTGTGCCAACAGTGAAGCATCCTGAGACCAATCATGTGTGGGGTTGCTTTTCAACCAAGGGAGTGGACTCTCTCATAATTCTGCCCAAAAACCCTGTCATGAATAAAGATTGGTATCAAAACGTCCTGCAAGAGCGACTTCTTCCAACGATCCATGAGCAATTTGGTGATGATCCGTGCGTTTTCCAGCATGATGGAGCACCATTTCACAAAGCAAGAGTGATGAAAAAGTGGCTCGAAGATCATTAAATTGAAATTTTGGATCCGTGGCCAGGCAACTCCCCGCATCTCAATCTCATAGAGAACCTGTGCTCAGTCCTTAAAAGGCGAGTGGACAAGCAGAAGCCCACAAATTGTGATCAACTCTAAGAACTAATAAGGCAAGAATGGATCGCCATCAGTCAGGATTTGGCCCAGAAGCTAATATCCAGCATGCCAGAGCGAATTGCAGAGGTTATGAAGAACAAGGATCAACAAAAATATTGACTCATTATATTTTTTGCCAATAAAAGCCTTTAAAACTTATGATATGATTATCATTGTTTTTCAGTATACCATAGAAACGTGGAAAAATAATCTACAAATACTGAAGCAGCA